ATTCGAACCCGCCACCTTAGGTGTATGTGGCTGGCGCCTTAGCCGCTTGAGCCACAGGTGCCAAGCCTACCCTTTTTTTTTGAGAGAGAGAGAGTCTCACTTTGTCACCTTTGGTAGAGTGCCATGGCATCTTAGCTCACAGAAACCTCAAACTCTTGAGGTCAAGCGATCCTCTTGCCTCAGCCTCCTGAGAACCTATTTCACTTGACAGTATGAAAACATAATTTGTAAATTCTGACTCTTTAGAAGTGCGATGTGTGGACTTGAGTTCGTGATCTTACCCCTGCCCTGTGAATACGGAGGGTAGGGAGGCCTTCTAGGCCCGGCCTGTGAGGGTTTGCAGCAGCCACACTTGGAACTTGGCCTGATCACAGCCTCACACTTCCTCTCTGGCCCCTTTGCTCCCCCAGATCGGACGTGGACCTACTCTTTCTCAGGCACCATCCTGTTCCTCATGGGCTTCCTCGTGGCCATACTCTGCTATCTGAGCTACAGATATGTCACCAAGCCGCCTGTGCCTCCTAACTCCCTGGTGAGCTGTCCCCTGGGGCAGAAGGGAGAGGTGGGGGTGGTAATGGGACTCCAGAGCAACAGAGGGCACAGGCCCAGAGACCCCTGGTTCTCCCCGAGGTGCCATACATGCAGTGAGCTGAGGTCTGTTTTCTCCTCTCTGGAGTTCACATCCAACCTAAGTCCACAGACATGTGGCCCAACAGGTCTCAGCATGTACTAAAGAGGGGCAGGTGGCCGGGCCTGGTGGCTCATATCTATAATCCTAGCACTCTGGGAGGCCGAGATGGGTGGATTGCCTGAGCTCAGGAGTTCCAGACCAGCCTGAGCAAGAGCAAGACCCCATCTCTAAAAATAGCCAGGCATTGTGGTGGGTGCCTGTAGTCCCAGCTACTGGGGAGACTGAGGCAAGAGGATGACTTAGGCCCAGGAGTTTGAGGTTACTGTGAGCTACGATGCCACGGCAGTCTCCCGAGGTCAACAAAATGAGATTCTGTCTCAAAGTGGGGGGCGGGGCTAATCAAGAATAGTGGACACAGAAGAGAAGTGAGCTACAGAGGAGTGAGGATTGGGAAGCATCAGGAACGTGGGTCTCACACCCATCTTAAAAGGCAGACATCACCGCTGCGCAGGGATACAGGCCCAGTGTTGTCTGATCTTCAAATTTTCTGAGAGAAGTCCAAATTTCAGACTATAATGTGAAATCTCCCAATTGTCAAATATTCACCACTAATTCTTTTAATGAAAATTCCTATGTAAGCTACACAAATCACATCAGCAGCCCTCAGCTGACAAGGTAAGCAGCAAGGTCCCCTCGGCCCCACAGAGCCCCAGTGGAGCCATCTGTGGTGCCTGGAGCCAGTTCTCACCCATCCAAGGGACAGAGGAGCTCTGAGGGTGTTTTGCCCAAAATCAGAATCCAAATGAACCACTTTCTGTAAAACTCCCAGTCTTCCCTGGTTCCCTGGCCCTTCCCACGTGCTAAGCAACAGTGTGGGTGCCTCCCCAAAACTGTGTCCCAGGCAGCCCCAAATCTGGGTCATTTAATCCCTGGACTATGTGTCCCCTGGAGAAGCCAGAGCCTAGCTCTCGCTCCCCGAGATAACCCAGACTCCAGAAGCGGCTCTGACCACAGAGCTGGAACCCCTACCTTTGCTCAGGTGCTGGCATTTAGAAGATGCTCTGAGAAGCAGACAGATGTGGGGCAACACATCTAGATGGTTCCCCATCCCCTCAGCTTCCCCGTGGAGGACCTCACCCTCCCAGGTCACCAGCAGGGAGCTTAGAATTGTCCCTAATGGGGTGCACTCTTGTCCCTGCGCAGAATGTCCAGCAAGTACTGACTTTCCAGCCGCTGCGGTTCATCCAGGAGCACGTCCTGATCCCTGTCTCCAACCTCAATGGCACCAGCAGTCTGACCCAGCCCGTCCAGTACTCCCAGGTCAAGGTCTCCGGGCTCAGGGAGACCCCAGAAGCTCCACAGCAGCACAGCACATCAGAGATCACTTACTTAGGCCAACAGGACATCTCCATCCTCCAGCCCCACCCCATGCCACCACCTCAGACACTCTCCCCACTATCCTGTGCCCCAAAGGCTGCCCCCGAGGTTGGGCCCTCATCCTACGCACCTCAGGTGATCCATGAAGCTAAACCCCCATTATACACCCCACAGACTGTCTCAAAGGTCAGGCCTCCCTCCTACACCCCTCAGGCCACTCTCGATGGCTGGCCCCCTTCCTATGGGGTGTGCATGGAAGACTCCAGTAAAAACTCCTCGCCTGTGACACTCAAAGATCTCAGGCCTAAAGGTCAGCTCCACAAAGAGGCACCCACTGGCAGCTGCATCCCGGGTGGCCTTTCTCTGCAGGTGGTGACCTCCTTGGCTACAGAGGAATCCCAAGAAGTAAAATCTTTCCTCCAGCCTCTGGGGATTTGCATGGACAGAGCATCAGACCCCAGCATGCTGCCCAGTGGGGAGCCAGAGACACCACAGTACCTGAAGGGCCAGCTTCCCCTCCTCTCCTCTGTCCAGATCGAGGGCCACCCTGTGTCCCTCCCTTTGCACACCCTTTCCCTCCCCCATTCCCCTTTGGACGAAGGTTCAAGTCCATGGGGCCTGCTGGAGTCCCTTGTATGTCCCAAGGATGAGGACAAGAACCTAGCCCCTGAGGCCTCAGACCTGGAGCAGCCCACAGAGCTGGATTCTCTCTTCAGTGGCCTGGCCCTGAGGGTGCAATGGGAGTCCTGAGGGGAGAACAGGTCAGGCCTGGGGCTTCCTCCCTCTTGCCACCCAGAATCACATCCTTGGCTATGAGTCCCATACCCAGACGTGCTGCACACTCTTCGGCCCAGCCCCCTGTGGGTGTCCGCTAGAGAACCAGCAGAGGAGGATGCAGGGCCTCCTGCCATGAGTGACTCCCCCTCGGAGCAAATCAGCACAATGAGGAGCAGCAGGAACAGACGAGCCACATGCAGAGCCCAGCAGGGCAGGTCAGGATGGAGCGGTCACAGTGCAGGGAAACCCCCAGAGGAGACCCAGCACCCCACCTCCTTATACTCCAGGCTCAAAGTTCTCAGGGAACCTGCCTGTCTGCACCTCACTCCTGGCCAGCTTCATGATCAAGTTTGGCAGAGAATGAGGCCCCTGCCTCCTCTGTGATTGTCCAAAGGTAAGAAAAGAGCTGAGAAAGGACACCTCCCGGGAGGCCAGGCAGAACCAGAACAACCTGCACTTCCGCCAAAGCCAGAGCCCAATCAGGGCAACACTTCAGGGAGGGGTGCAGCCTGGGGCTTGTTCCCAGCCAAGGCCACCACTGCCTGAACTTGCACCATTTCAAGTATGTTCCTCTGCTGGAGGCCTTACCCCCAGTGAATCCAGCTCTGTGGGCTGCTCCAGGCCCACCAGGGAGGGAAACACGGAAACCTTTCCTGCAGGCAGGTGTTTCATATCTTACTCTGTGAATGAGGTTTGAAAGGAACTTGGGGCCACGTGGCCTCTGGAGACAGAACAATAAACTGCATCTACTGTACAACTTGGGAAATTCAGCCTCAGGTTCAGCCCACCTGGATTGAAATTCCAGCCTCACCACTTACAGGCTATGTGACTTCATGCAAATGAATTGTTGCTCAATACCTCAGTTTCCTCATCTGTAAAATGGGGACAACAATACCTACCTTACAGTGTTGTGGTGAGGATGACATTGAATAATGTCTGCGAAGTGCTTACTATGCCTGGTACATGGGCAACGCCCAGTAAATAAATAGCTATTTCCTGCTGTGAATTTTTTTTCCCCTATTATGATATTTTAAAATCAAGTAGCACAAGGAATAACCCTTTCCCCCAATTCAGGTTGGCTTCAAACATACTGGGCATTTTCTCGTGGGCTTAAAAGACCTGGACTTTCCCCAGGATTGCCCAGGCAAAGCCTGAGGGGCTGGATTGCAGGGTCTCCTAGAAGCAGAGTCTGGAGACAAATGATATGGAATCTTCTTCCTGAGGTTGTAGGTGAAAGCTGTCATGGGTGACAGTGGCAATCTCAGAGGGCCTGCCTCCCAACACCCCACCAGGGGCAGCGCTGTACTGCACTGTCCTGTCTAGATCAGGACAATGTGCCCTTGTTCAGTGCTTTCAGAACTCTGGGACACTTTTTGTATCATTTGCATCTCAGATGATACATCCTCCCCATAAGTTACCCAAGGCCCAGAGAGGAGGGAAGGGAGTCACCCAAGTGAGTGGCAGAGCTGAAGCTCAGATCTAGTGGTTTTTGTCCTCATCAAGAGAAAGACCTTTCTTAGCTCTCTGGGAGACAGAGGCAGGAGGATCTCTTGAGCTCAGGAGTTTGAGACCAGTCTGAACAAGAGTGAGATCCCATCTCTGCTAAAAATAGAAAAATTAGCCAGGCATTATGGAGGGTGCCTGTAAGTCTCAGCTACTTGGAAGCTGAGGCAAGAGGATCACTTGAACCCAGGACTCTTGAGGTTGGTGTGAGTTAGGCTGACATTATGGCACTCTAGCCTAGGGTAGCAGAGTGAGACTTTGTCTCAAAAAGAAAAACAAAAAAATAGAAAGAGCTTTCCACACCTGTTTGGATTCTTGGGGGATGAGAATAATGGGGCAAAGGAGGGGAGAGCCCCTAAGGGGGTGCCCAAGAGACAGGCACCCCTGGTCACCTTCTTGTTCCAAAGCTCTTTCTGAACGTTCCTAAGAAACAAGATCAGCCTTCGTATGGCGCTTCCTGGAGTGTACAACGTCCTTTCTCTGAATCTAGCTGTGTTTCCCCTTCTTTTCCCCTCCTTTTCCCCTCCCTGGGACACAGTGACAGGTGGGGTTACTCCTATCTGCTGGTAATTAATATTTAACATCTCTCCAGTGTCACTGGGTTAGGCCCAGTATCCCACAGCAGAGGGGTGGGGCCCTCTCCCAGCAGTGCCAAGTCAGCCTGACAATGGCTCCCCTGCCCCCCTCAACCTGCAAACATATCTACTTCCTGTCACTTGGAGGCATGCTTGGCCAAAGGTTAACTGTCTTCGCCTTGTTTATTAGTGAAAAACAACAGCTGAACTATTCTCACCAGATAAGGAGGAACAAGGAGCTATAGAAGGTTTTTATTAAGCACCATAAACATCATTTCCAACTCAAGGACCTTGAAGCTCTCTACGCTCCTTGGGGTAGCAAACATTCCAAAAACAATTCTTGAGGGGTAGGATCTGAGCGTCTAAGGAGAAAGTTGGCTCAGGGCCTGTGACACCCCCTCAGGCTGGGCCTGTCCCTATTGAGGGGCGGGCACCAGGCTGCATGACCCCTGGGGTCCCCTGATGCCTTGGCAGTCCTGGCCTACAGTTAGAGCCAGAACCAGCAAGAGCACAGGGTGTCCGGACACCCCAGGAGCTAGCAGGGGCCCTGGCATTCCTGAGAGACCCCATTATCAGGAATCTTCAATGCCCCGCCCAGCCAGAGAAAGATGTCACCTGCCTACCAGGCACAGCAAAGCCATGGCCAGGAATGAACGGAGAGTGACAGCAGCCTAAGGAGGCAGGATCCAACTGTGTGGCTCAGCAGTTACTTGATCACTCACCCTCCCTTCCCTGACAGTTCATATTATGGAAATTTTGCAGAAGAGGAAAATATGGCTCTGAGAGGTTCTTGCCCTAGTCAGTGTCCTGCAGAGATTCCTAAAACGCAGCTTCCCTACGCCCATCTCAGACCTCCTAAATCCACAGTTCCTGGGGGGCCTCTGGGTCTTTATTAAAATCCTTTGGTGATTCCTCTCAGGCAAGTTGAGGGAACACTACCAGTCATGAACCCTTATCGCCCTGCCCCCAGGCCCCAAGAAGGAAACAGGTGTGACACAGATAGAAGTACAAACTTGCAGAGAGGCAGGCTAACCATGAGTGCAATTGAGTGGGTATGTGACAGGTGAGGGGAGTATTAGACAATGACTGCGTGCTTAAGGATTGCCACGGGCTCAGGCTCTCTCCCTGCGATTCCAAAGGATGTTTAAGCTTTAACACCTGCAGATGAGTTACCCACGTGTCCACCCTCAAGTGGCAAAACATCTCACCCAGAGGCCGTCCAGCTCTTGGCATCTCCTACATTTTCCCCCCTCTTGTGTATTCAAAGACATTTCTGGGTAGGCAAAGGAGAAAATTTGTTGTTGATTATTTCAGCCGTTCTCCTCACTGAGGAGCTCTCCTTCCTGCTAAGCAAAGAAACAGAAAAGCACCTGAGTTAACAAAGGGGAAGGGCATGGTACCTGCAGAACTGCAGTCTCTGCCGCCCTTGGAGAAGAGGGGTAAGGAGGAAAGAGCACTGATCCAGACAGTTCTCCACTTGAGCCACCAGGTGGCACTACCAGCCAAGGGCAGTTTGGTTGCTGTCAAAAAAATGGTGCAGATGTTCAGAATAGTAAGTGACACATGGTTCAAAGTAATGTCAGTTAGTCTTTATTACTAGTAATAAGACCAGGGAAGAGAATGAAAGAGAAAAGAAGAGAAGGAATGGAGAGAAAGAAGAAAATATGAGCCAGGCGCTATGCCAGGCATTTTACATATTTAACCTCATTTGTGTCTCACAACCATTCTACAAGATAGGTATTTGCTAGGGTCTGAGTGGCGATGTTTCAAAGTTGAAACTTAATGAAACCGTATTAAGAGGTAGGGCCTGAGTGGTGCCTGTGACTCAAAGGAGTAGGGCACCAGCCCCATATATCAGAGGTGGTGGGTTCAAACCCAGCCCCAGCCAAAAACTGCAAAAAAAAAAAAAAAGAGAGAGAGAGAGAGAGGTTGGACCTTTGGGAGGTGATTAGGTATGAGGGCTCAACCCTCAAGAACGGAATTAATGTCCTTATAAAAGAGATTGGAGGATGGCGGTGCCTGTAGCTCAGTCATCAGGGTGCCAGCCACATACACCTAGGGTGGCAGGTTTGAACCTGGCCCGGGCCTGCTAAGCAACAATGACAACTGCAACCAAAAAATAGCCAGGTGATGTGGTGGGCACCTGTAGTCCCAGCTACTTGGGAGGCTGAGGCAAGAAAATCACTTAAGCCCAAAAGTTTGAGGTTGCTGTGAGCTGTGATGCCATAGCACTCACTGAAGGCAACAGCTTGAGACTCTGCCTCGAAAAAAGAAAAATAGATTAGAGGCTCAACACCCTCAGGAAGTAGGGTGCTGGCCATGTACACTGAGGCTGGCAGGTTTGAGCCCAGCCCAGGCCTGCTAAAGAACAATGGCAACTGCAACAAAAAAAATAGCCAGGCGTTGTGGCGGGTGCCTGTAGTCCCAGCTACCTGGGAGGCTGAGGCAAGAGAATCACTTAAGCCCAAGAGGTTGCTTGGGCTTGGAGGTTGCTGTG